CCGCCACGAACAGCCCAGCCGTTTGCCCTCTCAAAGTTCCGAACAAAAGCTGTCTCTCTCACACAAATCACTTAACTCTTCTCTCAACAATTTCTCTCTGATTTTTGATCAACAAAAACGGCCAGAACACTGTTTCTGCCTTTTATATCAAAACCTAGGGTTCCCTTAAACCATCGCGCAAACCGTGCGATCAAACCCGARTTCCCGYTCTGATTAACGATTTGCGTCGCTCGACGCATCTCCTCTGCGTCGCTCGACGCGAAATCCCCTGCGTCGCTCGACGCAACTCTCCTGCGTCGCTCGACGCAACACCAAAAATACACATTTTGGTTCACGGGCGTTACACTTTTGGGGCCGGGGAGACCTTTCCAAACCCTGAGCTCACAGCGAGAACCGCCATGGACGCCGGATTCACGGCCGCGAAACGAGCGGACTTCTGGTCTATATCATCGGAGCCTCCCACAAGTACCTCAATCGGCGAGTGCAAAAGAGCCTTCGTCGAGTTGCTTCAACCGGAATTGGCCATCGCCGGAGACTCCTCCGGTACCGATCCACCTCCATCGTGTTTTGACCAGTGAGGTAAATCTGATTCACCCTATCTTTGGGCCTAAACAAAATCGGTTGGGCTTGGCCCATTGGCATTTTCGTAATTGGGCTAGGCCCATGAGAAGAAGTTTAATGTTTGGGTCAGGGTCTGTTGAGTTGATACACATATTTATTAGCTTGGTCGATCCTGATGCACTATCTATTGCTTTTGACAAGTTAATTTCCTCCCTATGGGAGAGACCCTTACCACTGTCTTTCTCTAGTGATAGACATGTCAAACCCTACTCCTTGTGTTTGGAGAAACTACTACCTTTCAAGGTGTATGCAACATAATTTTCAGTCCTATTCCTCGCCGGCGAAGGGACAATGAGACAATATGTTCCTGTCGTTTTCATGATGATCTTAGCCCGGAGTTGTATTTGCTTTCCGGTAACGAGCTTGCTTAAACTCGATTACGTCTACAGAAGTTCCTCCGTCAAGGAGAGACCTATCACAACCACTTCTTTGGAGTGTGTTCACAAAAGCTCAGCAGGCAGCTATTGATGTTCTTTTGCTGATGATGGTAGAAGAATTGGAGATCGAACTGCTTGCAATCGATTTTGAAACCCTTTTTAAGAAGTTTTCGGTTTTTGTCTACGATTCAAACCGTCTAACCTATCTCTTGAAGCCTATCTTGACGCATCCAAGATCTCCTTTGGATTCGCTGTCTTATAGTCTTATTGTTATCCTCTTCTATGTGTTTATTGTTTTCAATTGTTGTACTCTGCTACTTTGTATGTTCACCGATTAAATATCAATGTTGAAAAAAAAAAAAAAAGAGACACAAAATTTAATAGACCTTAAAGCCTCGTTTTCTTAACTTTTCAAAATAAAAACACAATTGAATCAAATAATTGATAAAGCCCAGAGCCCATATTGAAGAGGAATTGAAGAAAAGGATCTAGATTATCCTCATAGCACACGCTGAATTCCAGGTTTGAAAATCTATAATCCCAATCCTCCTTCTGATTTCCTCTTAGTCACTATCTCCCAAGAAACTCTTGCTGATCCTTTACCATCAATATTTCTATTCCAAAGGAAATTTCCACATAAGGAGTTAATCTTATCAGTGCATCCTTTAGCTAGAACAAATGAACTAGACCAGAAGTTTATGATTTTTGTGATCACAGTATTAATCAATAGAAGTCTACTAGCAAAACAGAAGGCATTGGAAGACCATGTATTCGGCTTCGCTTTGACAGAATGTAGCAAACCAGCACATTTATGAATTGTTAGCTTTTTAGTTCACAGTGGTACCCCCAAGATATTTGATAGGAAGTAAGCCCATAGATAATCCGGTTTCCTCTTTTATTTTATTTACACCATCATCTGTCACTCCTACCGAGAAGAAGCATTTTTCCCAACGTCTGCTCAAAATCCCATAGTACGTTCGATGTTCTTTTAATATCAAACTCTTCACGTTATACGCGGATTAAGTTTATTTAATTCTTTCAATATTAAATAAATTAAAAATAGTTAATTAGTTAAAATATTTTTAATTGTTTTCAATCCAAATAATTTATTTGTGAATAATAGTATATAAAGTAAAACATAACTTAGTATAGATGATTAGGTATAGTTTTGTTTAGGTTTGTATTTGAATTTCAACCAAAATATCATTTATTTTTCAAATAAAGCTTTTATGTAATATTATTATTACGTAATATTTAATCAAAAAGCCCAAATTTTATGATAGTACGTAAATTATAAAAATGTTTATGTTGAGATTTTTTTCACTTGTGTTTATACCTTTAT